TCTAGTCGTCTTGGTGTCTGAGAGTTGAACTTACTAATGTGTGTCCAGAATACAGTGCACTTGGGTGTGTCCTGTGACAGAGGGCAGACTGAGGACAAAGCGTAGGGGGTTAGGCGAGGCCACCCATGGAGCCACAACACCCCCACAGCAAACACCAGGGAGACCAAACCACCAGCTCTGCCCATACAAACACACTCTAACCACATGACAACACTATTGTGGTGGTGTGTGTGTGTGTGTGTGTGTGTGTGTGTGTGAGTGTGTGTGTGAGTGTGTGTGTGTGTGTGTGTGTCGGTGTGTTGGTCATCTGGGTTTCCTCCAGAGAGTGAAACAAACCCGAGTGAGGGAGATTCACTTCCCCGTAGGGACAGACGGATAATATTGATACAATCTGTCACAATAAGAGCAGACGGAGCTAAACATGACGACGTTGGGTTCAAACGAAAGCTTGTCCAACAAATGATGAACTAAATCTATTCACAAGATGTGTTTTTCCTTGTAATTGAAGAACAAATGAGTTCGTTCATATTTCAAATTAAACTTATTTTAGCGTGGTTTACAGTCAGACCAAAGAAACTAAATTGCTAAAGTTGTTTTACGACTGTATGCTGATGATACCTGCCTATTGTTCCCCTAAAGAGCCTGACCGACCTGCTACTGGCTGCTGAACTAGCCGAAGGACCAAGAAACAAGATAGCAAAAGAAACCTTCATGTGAATACTGACAAAGGTTCTTTGGGGGAAAACTAACACCAGAAAACAACAAAGTGTAATTTCAACTCCGTTGAGTTTCAAGGGACAGTAAATAAACATCTGTTTGCTCTCTGATTCAGATTAAACTACATAGCAGCAGTTATTTTAATGATTTTAAAATAAATTATTATTCAAACCAACTTCCTGATGTCGTGTGCTTATTGTCAGTTCTGGTGTGAAAACCTGTTTTGTTATTATATATTTGTTATATTTTTGTCTTTTTTTTCACACTGCTGCTCAAATTGCTGTTGAAACTTCAGATAATTATGCTTTATTTTGCAGGAATGTGTGAGATATATGAAAACAAATGTTAGTCAGATGAGACACAGAACAGGGTGTGTGTGTGTGTGTGTGTGTGTGTGTGTGTGTGTGTGTGTGTGTG